AATTGTCCTCTACATTCTCTTTAAACCCAAAATTCCTTATTATCTAATCAAACTTCAAGTACCACTGTCTTGAAGCTTGTTTTAATCTATAAATGGATTTCTTTAGGCGGCATCCTATTCGTTCTTTTCCTTCCATGACAAAACCTTTCGGTTGTGCCATGTAAATATTTTCCTCCAAGTCTCCGTTGAGAAATGTTGTCTTTACATCCATCTGATGTAATTCTAAATCGTAATGTGCAACTAATGCCATTATGATTCTAAAGGAATCCTTATATGAGACTGGAGAAAGGGCCTCATTGTAATCAATCCCTTCTCTTTACGTAAAGCCTTTTGTCACAAGTCGCGCTTTATATCTCTCTATATTCCCTTGAGAGTCAAGTTTTATTTTATAGACCCATTTAGAGCCCACTATTTTGGCTCCTTTAGAAATTATTTCCAAGTCTCAAACTTTGTTGGCATTCATAGATTTTATTTCATCTTTCATGGCCTCAAGCCACTTTGATGAATGATCATTTCTCATGGCTTCTCCAAATGAGGTGGGATCATCCTCTATTTGAAATTCCTCAGTGTTGTATACTTCATAGTCAGCAGGAATAGCTGATTTTCTAACTCTTTGAGACCTTCTAGGGGCCTCCACATTTGGCACATCTTTTGTTTGAGGCTGTTGTTGCTCCACCTCATGTGTGACAATAGGTTCTACAGGAAGGATCCTGAAGAACAGGCTCCTCATCGTCATTCATTGTTGCTACAGGCGGAGTAACAATAGGTGCTGGCACCACAGTACCTTGCACTATCGGTGCAGCGACAGCATGTAGTGAGAAAAATGGCTCATGAATCATCGGAGTGGGCACATACACCCGCTTCTCTTCAAGGTCAATTTTTCGAGCTACCATGCTCTCCCTTATTATTTCATCCTTTAGAAAGACAACGTGTCTCGTTTCCACAAACTTTGTATGTTTGTTTGGACAGTAGAAACGAAAACTTTTTGACTTTTCTGGGTAGCCAATAAAATGGCAACTTACTGTTTTGGGATATAGCTTCCCAATGTTTGGGTTAAATATTTTAGCCTCAGCAGGACTCCTCCACACATGTAAGTGGTTTAGTGAGGGTACTCTTCCTGTCCACAACTCATACGATGTTTTAGCACACATGTAAGTGGTTTAGTGAGGGTACTCTTCCTGTCCACAACTCATACGATGTTTTAGGCACCGACTTACTTGGTACTTTATTGAGAATATGAATGGCGGTTTTTAACGCCTCCATCCATAAGCTCAACGGTAAGGTGGAGTAACTTATCATACTGCGCACCATATCCATCAGGGTACGATTGCGCCTTTCAGCTACTCCATTCTGCTGAGGTTTGCCTCGTGTAGAATACTGGACTACTATGCCATTCTCCTATAAGAACCTTGCAAAAGGTCCGAAACTTGGCCATATGGGGTATGCCGACCGTAGTACTCCCCCACGGTCGGACCTGACTATCTTAATCTTTAAATTGTGTTGGTTTTCAACTTCAGCCTTAAATATCTTAAATTTATCCAATGCTTTTGTTCTTTCTTTGATTGGATAAATGTAGCTATAACGGAATAATCATCTATGAATGTTATGATGAATCATAACCATCCACACTCTTTATAGAAAACGGACCACAGATATATGTGTGAATAATCTATAGAATTCATGTGCTTCGTTTGGCATCTTTCTTAATTTTTTTACATACTTTCCTTTTATGCATTGTTCTAAATCTGAGAGCTCTAATGGAGGAAGAATATCATTCTTAACTAATCTTTCTATTCTGCCCCTCGAAATATGGCCTAAATGACAGTGCCATAATTTCGACAACGCATCGTGAGCTCTCTTTCGTTTTCTGTTTACATCCGCAGACGAGAATACATTCTCATTATCGCACGCAACGTTCCCATCATTGCATACAACATTCACATCATCACGTAGTGATAACAAATAAAGTTTATTTTGTAAGATAGCAAGACCAACACATGCATTATTAAATGTTATCTTACATTTGTCATTTCTAAAATGGCAATCATATCCATCATTGTTCAAGCATAAAACACTAATTAAGTTTTTCTATAAAGAGAAAACATAAAGTACATCTCTAAGTAAAAGTGTGAAGCCATCAGCAAGTTCTAGAGAAAGATCACCAACGGCTTCGACGTCTGCTTGGACTCCATTTGCAAGTTTAACGTGTCTTTCGCTTCTTTGTGTAGTCCTCGTCGAATGGAATCCCTGTAAAGAATTAGCAACATGAACAGTTGCACCTGAGTCAATCCACCAAGTAGATTTCGAATACTATACATACAGGGATTCATTTATGAACGTAATAATGTTCTCACCTTTCTTTGTCATGATCATCTTTAAGTAATCGGGACAATCTTTCTTATAATGTCCCGTCTTCTTACAATAGAGACATTGGTCTTTCTCTATTGTGAACTTGTTCTGCTGAGGCTGATACAGTATGGGACCCTTTTCCTTTGTCTTGGAGGAGGAGTTAGCATTATTATTCTTTTTCTTATTGTCTTTGATATAATTGATAGTGTCACCATTGGCAGCTTTCATTCTCTCCTCCTCTTGCACTCACATAGCCATGAGCCTCTCTAAGTCCCACTTCTCGGGTTGTATGTTGTAGTTGACAACAAAAGTGTCAAATTCCATTGGCAAGGAAGTAAAAATCAGATGGATAAGGAACTCTTCCTTGAGAGCCAGATCCATTGATTTTAGCTTGGATGCCAGATTGCTCATCCTTAGTATGTGCTCTTTTATGCCACCATTATCAGAGTACCTTTCTGTCATCAGCTGCTTTATCAGCTGGGTAGCATATGTCTTTGAAGAGCTAGTGAACTGACTCTTTATTCTATCAAGGTACTCGGTGACCGTATCACACTCTAGGATTGAGCCCACAATTGCAGGCTCAGTCGTGTTCTTTGCCACAGCTAAATATGTCTTGTTGGCAATGACCCACTTCCTATGCTCAAGGTCATAGGACATCCTTTGGGATGCAAAATCCCTCTCTCTTGTTGCCCAAGCAGCATCAGCCTCGTTTATCTCCTTCACCGGTGCCACAGGTTCAGTGGGACACGGTGAGGTGACTACCCGGTCCACCTCAGCCAAGATGAAGAGCAGGTCAATCTTTTTCTTCCACTCCGTGTAGTTATCACCTTTGAGAGTGGGGATCTCTTTGATACAACCCATTAAGTTGTATCTGCCTGAAAACACAATTCATATAGAGTGAAAACATAAATAATAACAACAACAATTGCATGCCTTAGTTTCAACGTTGGTCAAAATTAAAACATACAATTGTCCTCTACACTAATTCTACATCACCGTTGGGCAGAAATAGAATTAATGCATGACAAAACTCATAAATAACATCATAATATTGCCATCAATCAACGTTGGTCAGAATAATAACAATATTATAATCAACTAAAAAACATATCTATTTTTTAAAATTAAATTCTCCCGTTGGTTCGAATTTAATAATGAAAATAATAACTTTAAATACGCAGCGAAAAAATAATCTCAATTTTGTGAATTTTACCCACAGGAAAATTCGCTTTTCTATTTTCTTTAAGACATGTATCCATTTTCCAGGAAATAAACATTTACTGGAAAAAGAAAAAACAAAAAATGATTCAAAATGAACACTGTTTTTCAGCCCAGCAAGCAAAACGGCCCGGCCCTCTCTGCTTGCGCGCGCGTCGTGCTTCCCAGGCCACAACCTGGGCCTGGGCAGCCAAAGCCGCGCGGCCACGCGCGCCCACCTGGGCCGATCGCTGGCCCGATCAATCTGCACCGTTCATCTTAATCCGACGGCCACGCACGCGTTTCGCTCGAAATAAAAGCCGACGCCACGTCGCCCTCGAGGAAACCCTAATTCATTCTGTGCTGGCCTTTCTCTCTCTATGCCTCGCTCCGTTCTCTCCTCAGCACAACAACGCCGAGCAGCCGAGCGAAGAGCAAGTGATGAGCGGCAGCCATGGCGCCGTCGCTGGCCCCCTAACCGGCGTGCACGCTCCCTAGCGGGTGAGCACACCGCCGTCGAGCGGTCTGGGCGGCAGTGCCCTGATCCCATCAAAACCCTAGATCTGACCCGGCCTATTATCCTCCTCTGTCTCGGTACCGACGATGACGGCGCCATCGCCGGCCCTCTCGCCGGCGTGCGCGCTTCCCAGCGGGTGAGCGCGCCGCCGTCGAGCGGCCTGGCCGCGGCGCCCTTGGCCCGAGCACCCGCCCACGCACCGACGAGGCGGTGGCGAGGTAGGCCTCTTTCCCTTCCCCTTTTCTTTTCTTTGAGTTTCCTTTCTTCTTTTCTCGGATCTATCCGATTTAGGGTTGGGGATGGGTTAGGATCGAGATTAGGGTTTGGTTAGGGTTAGGGTTTCGTTTCAGTAATTGACTCGTTTCTGTGGCCCTGTTCGCTTGGAGGAATTTGTGAGAGCGTGAACAGTATTTTTCATCCGCGCACAGTGAATTCCGGCTGAAATTGTGACCAGCCGAACGGCCCCACAGGGTATTGATTTTCAAAATTTAGATTCGTGATGAAGGCTTGCATTTCAATCGCCATGCGTGGCCTCTGCGTCTAATTGTATATTCCATCTTCCAATTCTAGATGGGAGTCAAATGGAATTTTACATATATACACATATTTTGGCTGAACTGCTCGATGAAAGCCAACGGAACTCTGAACATGAAGACTGAAAAAAAAATTCAAGAGACAGGTTCTCGTCTGTTGCTGTTTCTTGAAATTTCCTGAAACGGAGGGTGAGCAGTGAGTGAGAGAATCACCGGCCACGAACTGCTCGCGTTGCGTTTCGTCGCGTCGTCCAGCTCCCCAGGACGCACGCAGGAAGCAGCGCTCGTTCTCTGTTGGTTGCAGATTCGAGCAGCGATCACCCCCGGCCCCGGTCAGGTCGCCGGGCAACGGGCATGGATGACAGAGACAGAGCAGGTGGATTCCGGGCGCCTGCCCGGTTGCACTACGGGCCTGGGGTCTCCGGCAAGGCCATGTCGGCGGCGTTAGGGGCGGCAGCGACCATGCTTGCTCCTTGGGTTGATGATGCCAGCGGGTCCCGATCGATCAGGACGTGAAGAGCTGGCTGCCGAGCGTGACGATGGCGGTGCCGTCGCCCATGACGGTGGTGAGGGTCATCTCCTTCTCCAGGATCCGGTCCAGCTCCGCCGCCACCAGCCGCATCCTGGGCCGCCGCCTCGCCGACGGGCTCAGGCAGTGGAACGCTAGGCCCACCACCTCCGCCATGCCCTCCGAGGTGAAGCTCCCTCCCAGCCTCGGGTCGACCAGCTCGTTCGAGCTGAAACGCGCCTCCATCTGACACAGGGATTCGTCAGTCAGGCAAGATCATGAGCTTCATAGTCCATACATGCCCGTCCAAATTCGGAGAGAATTTTTCATGGTTGACTTTTGAGATTAGAGATTTGTTATATACAGTACTCACCAATTGAGCGAAAGTATCCTTGGATTCCGGCGGAACCAACCCCGCTGCTTCCCTGCCGGTTGATCAGCTCCAGAAGGAACACCCCAAAGCTGTACACGTCGCTGCTTTCAGAAAGCTGCGCCAGTGAATGTACCCTGGAAACGCCAGAAATGCATGGTAAGAATTCATGAGGAGCACATTTTGTGAGCATTGGATTGGATTGTAGAGCTTGCAATTTCATGTCCTATATACTGTGACACAAAGAAAGGCCGAATGCAGGTAACACGGCAGAATGCACATTCAAACTACTCACTCTGGGTCTTGGAAGACACCGCTCTTCGCCGCCGGAGCGGCGGCGCCATCGAACCCTCGCAGCAGCCTGTCGATCCCGGCGTCGGACACCTTGGTGATGAAGTTCTCGTCGACGAGGACGTTGCTCGTCTTGAAGTCCCTGTGGATCAACGGCGGCGCTAGGCTGTGCAGGTGATTCAGACCTGCAGTTCAGAGTTCAGGCTTTCAGGCACCGTGTTTGTCTTTGTGTTGTACACCCTGGGCAATGGGCATGCATCTCTAGTGCATTGTTTGTTCATCATGACAGGTGTAAAAGAATGGCATGACTTGGCAATCTTGTCACCTTTAGCTGCTCCAATGGCAATTGACAGCCTCTGCTTGAACTCCAGCCTTGTCATGGACTCCTTGCCGGTGTCTGATGAACAGAACAGCACACAATGTTGATGCAGCATCCGGAGAAGCAGACACAAGGTTACTGCTAGAAGTATTAGTGAATGGGCTCAGCTCAGCTCATTACCGTACAAGTGGCCGCTGATACTGCCGTTGGGCAGGTACTCGGACACCAGCATCTGTAGACCCCCTTCTTGGCAATAGCCGATCAGCGTCACGACGTTGCGGTGCCAGATCTCTGACAGCCTCCTAATCTGCATTTCAACCCAAAAAAATCATCATGGAAGGACTGATGAAGATGGTAACAGTGCAGAAGGTGCTGGGCAGGCAGGGAGGTCAGAAACAGGCGTGTTGATCTGGGCAGTAGCTGCAATTCGGGACGGGCATTGGTGTTTGGCTATATAATATATACCTCGTCGGCGAAGTCCTGCCGCGGCGCGCCGGCGCGGCGCTTGATGGCGACGACGGTGCCGTCGAGCAGCAGGCCCTTGTACACCAGGCCGAAGCCGCCGGCGCCCACCAGGTTGGCCTCGGCGAAGTTGTGGGTGGCGTGCGCCAGCTCCTCCAGCGAGAACTGCCTGGCGCCGTGGAACTCCGGCGCCGACGAGGTCCGGCCGCACCGGCCCCACTGCGCTGCAGCCAGCACCAGCAAGCTACACGATTAAGCGGCAGGCAGATGATATGTATGTATGTGCGTGCACGCACGAGTTGCGGGCGGTCGAGGAGCAGCGGTCACGCACGTACCTAGCGTGGGAGGAGGAGCCTCCGACGAGGAGCCGGTGTCGGAGCTCCGGTCACGGGCGCCGCCGCCGCCTCACGAGCCACCACGCCACGGCGAGGGCGGCGACCAGCAGCAGTGCTGCGGCGCCGGCCGCAATGCCGGCTACCACCGGGGTTGGGAGTGCCATCGGGGCGGCGACCGGGGCATCGAACCTGCGTGCATTGCAGCCCACGATCGATCACCCGGCTCAGGGAGAGCAAGAATCTATCTGCTATATATACATCAACGAAGCGAAGTGATCGACGAACCTCGGAAGGAGCACGGACCGCTATAGCTTCGGCATTCATCAATGAAGCGACGGAGCTCCAGACCACTCTTCTCGGCTCGATCTCTTGCTTTCAGCGCTGCAGCTCGACGCCCCTGGCCCAGGTCCAACGAGAGCTTTGCTCCGTCCTCGGTGGCGGGCGAGCCCTCACGAGCTGTTTGTCCGTCCGGCCGGCTCTTTAAAGGCAGCGAGAGCGGCGCGCCGTTGGCGGTCAAGAACAAGAAGAGGGGACGGAGCGAGACGCCGCCGCCGCTGGCCCAGGTCCAGGTATGGATGTGACGTGACGTGGTGGCCGCGGAAGCGAAACCCCACATGGCATACGGCAAGGCAATTGGATGGCTGGTCGGATGCATGGTTCTTCAACTGCGACGCCATTTTTTTTCCCCTTGGGACTTCCTTCTCAGTCAGTGCAGTGTGCAGGCTGTGTACATGTGGAGCTGTAAAAACGGATCGGTGCCTGCCTTTTTCGACGGTTCTTTCTTCCCATTTCTTCGCAGACATACTGTTGGTCGATCTTGTACTAGCTATAGTGCTATACTCCTGTTGGCAACATGGAAATGGGATGTGATGATCAGGCTAAGCTTGCACGTTCCATCTCAACTGAAAGCAAGAACCGAAACTGAATCGTCTGAATTGGTTCGTCCAGAGGAAAACGAGAACGGCTGAATTGTTCCATGCGAAACTTTTCTCGACAACTTTTCTCCTTCTGCTGGCCAGAAATCAGAATTCCTTCAGAGATGTGGCAACTCTCAAGCAGGAGTAATTGATAATTGGCATCGGTCAGTTACTTGGCCAGGCCGGGCCCTCGTCTAGCCGGCGGTGGTGCCCGTGGCCGTGTCCAGTGTCCTCCTGCGATAGCTGCTACAGTGCTGCTTCTAAGCGGTAGCAGCAGACAGACACTCCCTCCCTCCAGGGCAGGCTCCAGCTGTTATTAGCTTGAGCTTTGCGAGATGGGGACCACATATTGCTGGCTAGTGTGGCATAGTGTAGGGCTCTCCTCCTTTGACTGGCTGACCATGAGTGAGTGAGTCCATGATCGGCTGGAAAGCCGAGCAGTATGATGCGCTTGTCACCTAGCGTGCTCTCTCCCTCCCTCCCTCTCTCTCTCTCTGGTGTGGCGAGTGCCGTAGGGAAGGAGGAGGAGGCCATGGCCATGGACGTCCGAAAAGGAAGCCCAAGCACTCGCTTTCCGGGCGCCCAAAAGCTCCCTGTCACCGCAAAGTGACTGAAAGCCTGTCCCTGCTGTGATGTAAAGAAAAACTTCTTCTTCTTTTTTCCTAAGAGAAAACTCTCATTCAACGAACTGACCGACTCAAGCGCTGAAGAGTGACCCGGTGAAAAGACTGAAGATTACTGTCGTCTGTGAGAGGGACTGAGGGTGGCTGGAATTCATGACGATGACCATGGCTGCAGAATGTGAAACTTGAGCAGAGGAGTGACATCAGTTTGCACAAGGAAATACTGCACCACCTGCAGCTGAGTTGCACGTCATGTGCTGGTAAGCTACGCAGCCACCAGCCCACACCAATGCATGCTCAAAGTGTAGTTCCATTAGGCTGGCAAGCTGCAACATGGAGGACAGGAATAGTTGCTTCCGAATGAGCACCTGCTGTAAGATTAAACTACTGCAGATTGGGCAGCTCGCGGCAAAAACAACAAGTGTCTTTGGCTCATCATGCAGATACAGAGCTAGCATACTACTAACATTCAGAGAAATTAGAATGTGCTGCACTGCATTATCATCATGTCACATGCTAGCTAACTGCAGCCACAAGTGTATTGGCCACTGGGTGTTTTTTTAGAGTCTTTAAGAATTGGGGAGACACAATGAGGTGTACGTGACTGAGGCATGCTCATGCCGAAAACGAGGTGAAACTTTACAGGCATGTCACCCTCTGTGATTTCTTCGTATGGAGTCCTCCAAGTTTCTGTGTGGTCAGCATCAGCATCACCGTCACCACTGAACGCAGCCTGACAAGTCCCTAATTACATTGACACGCTATATACAGTTAGTTTTCCTCCAACAAATTCAGAGTTCGATTGTTTACTGCTTCAGATTAAGAAACGTGCGTTTAGTTTTGATGCGATTAGTTGATGCTATGAGGTTTTCGAAAAAAAAAATAGTTGATGCAGTGCAAGAATCTGAATGATTTAGGAAACAACGTGCAATACAACTCTTTGCCGGCTAGCAGGCGCAAGTTGTTCAAATTCTAGTCCTAGGAGAGCTGTAACAGCAATAAGGAGGGGTCCAGTCAGATACTCTCCCTCCGAGATCCAATCTGGATCGAATAGATTATCAGATTTGCTCGCGCATACACACACACGCCAGATAGAAAATTGGAGGACATCTGAAGATTTTTTAATCCCAAACAAATCTATCGTCTCTAGTAAATTAAGATTCTTTCATGCTGCAGAAAGTACCTTTGATCTGAACTTCTGGATGCTGTTACAAAACAAAAACAATGTGGTTGCCTGGATCAGATTGACTGTTTAGGTTCGGTTCTTCAACAGTCCGAAGAGAACAACTGTGAACAAATCCATTTGTTCTCGCAAAAAAAATTCTGTTCAGTCTTAACTCTCTCTGACAGCATATACTATATTAGTAGTATTATATCATTGTATGCTTGCATGAACACAACAGCTGCACTGAACCTGGACTGCCTTTGGACATGATCTAGGATGCGAAGTTCAGCTGTTTTGCTGGTAATAGTATATATCAAGAGAAACATCTTCAGGGTGCATGCCAGATAGCCAGAGTTACTCCACAAGAGCCCAAGGGAACCAAATTAAAGAAGTAAACGGCACATGCTTGGTGTCCTTCTGTAGATGAGAATCCAATGACTGTCACAATACCAAGTGTTCATCAGAACAGGCCAACTTCCAGCCTGTTGAAATCAGAATTATGAGATATCCTCTTAGACTATCTCCAACCGAACGTACCCAAATCGAAGACCCATTCCATATTTTGAGTCATGCACAGTGAAAAGGTCCCGAACCCAAACCTCGCGTTCTCCAACAGCCTAAACAAAAACAGCGACGCAAAAGCAGAGCCATCCTAAAGTGCCGGCGTTGTTGACGAGGACGCCCACGTCGCGGCCCTCCATGGCGGCCGCCACCCGCCACCCCGCGCGCTGGCGTCGTCCCCGGTGACGGTGAGGTCGAACGCCACGCTCCGCACGGCAGACCGGAGAAAGCGAAGCAGAGGAGGAGGGCAGAAGGGAAGAGGCAGACCGGAGGGGAAGGGATGGAGCAGGGCAGAGCACGGCGACGGCGGTAGCCTCGACGCTCGGCTCCGATGGTGCTTCAACGCGGTGGAGGTGCTCCGGCTGCACCGGTGCCGGATCCGCCGCTAGCCACCGAGATCCACAGGAGGAAGAGGAAGAGAGGGCGCTGCTCCTGCAGCGTCACCGGATCCTCCCTGCACCGCCGGGATCCGGCTCGCCGCCGCCTAGAGGACCTCGGCCAGGGCGGATCTGATGGAGAAGAGTGTTGCCACCGGATCTGAGGGACGAGCGCCGCCGCAGCCGTGCTTCGGGCGGATCCCATGCGCCGCTGTCGTCGTGAGGCCGCCCCTGCACCTGCGCCGGTCAAGGATGCACCGCCGCCGCCGGGAGCGTCCCCGCGCGTGGTCGTTGCAGGATCCACCGCCGGGAGTGCGCGCGCGAGCTTGAGCTCGAGTTCCCCGACGGCGGCGGCCCAAGGCTACGGCTCGGCTTGTCTTTTGCACATGGCGGCGGCGGGCCAAGGTGGTGCTCCTAGGCGGGCGAGAGGGAAGCGAAGCTCGGCCATTCCTTTCCGCGGGCGAGCTCCGGAGAATTGCGTAGCGAGGAGAGAGGGGAGGCATTTTTGCGTTGCCTTTGGGCCGGTAGCCAAACTGTGTCGTGGGAATGGGTTACCCGTTGGAGCCGGTATACGATAGGCAAAGGCACTGTGCAAAACTTTTTTTTAGGTTTGGGTAGTATCGTTGGAGTCCATATATAGATAGTAGATATACTAAAAGGCGTCGTTTTAGTCTACACAGGGTGATGGGGAAATTGCTGAACTATTACAAGCTAGGGATCCAAAACTAGTAACAGAAAAGCCTGCAGAAGCAACTCTAATGGAAGTTGTACTTTCTGGGTCTGGGAAGTGTTAAAGTATGCATTAACTTTTTTTCTCAGACGTGCCATTGGCACGGTTATATACATTTTTATTTTTATTGGGAATCAAGATTCTAGTATGCTTTTTTTTTTCTCGAACATGCCTCGGGCACGGTTTTCATTAAGCAGGAGAAGAGAGTTTATACGAAATTACAACTAAACGCCATGGTAATCCACCGATTACCAAAGCACTCCGGCCTACGAGCAACGAGTGAAATTGATTTACATAGCACTATGATTGCGACGTGAATGACCAAAGTTCTTGTATTTATTGAACATGATGAAAACTGTCCAAAGTTCAGTGCATCAGCTTGAACTTCATTTACTTTGTTGAATATTGTGATTCTTTTAGAATCAGTAGAAGCTGCTAGCTGACAGACAAGACATCATGGAAAACAGATTGTCGTCAGTGTACCATTTTTACAGTAAGATAATTTGATCTTTTTCCCCCCAACCCCAATCGACAGTGGAAGGCTAGAAGCTAGTCGACAAAAGCATAGAGAATTATAAGTTAGAACACAACACTGAGTGAACATCTTCTAGGAACTCTGCAAGCTATCCAAAAGGAATTTAGCATTTAAACTACAAGTTCCGGGTCGCAAATGACTTCTGCAATATTACAAACCTTAATGGCTCAAATCTTCAGTAAGCCTAGGCTTACTGGAGATGTATGATTTGTACTTCAACTGCTTTCCTCTTAATGAAAAAACGTACCACGGTCGT